CTGCCATAAATACATGTCAGTTGCCAAGGGTTTGAATTTTGATCATGTGACCATGGGAATGCTGCAAGAATCATAAAGTGTGAAGAATAATCATAAGTCACTTTTTTCAGTGCAGTTGTAACTTCAGACTGTCATCAAATAAATGGTTGTACATCGAGGACTACTTATAAATCTGACCAAAAATGGCTAAGAGCCTTTTTTTGAGGATTATCTTGTAATGATAAGGATGTGATATTTTCTGCCCTTATTTCAGGCATGGGATCAGAGAAATATTTGCAGAAAGGTATCCAGGAAACACTTTTTTCATTTCTTAATTGAATTAACTGTAATGCAATCTACATATGAAGTGGTCCTAGAAAAACATTTAGAAGCTGCAGCTGATTTAGAATGCAGAAGCATAGACAGTTTTGGATGTTTATGATACACCTGTTTTGTAAACTGCACTGGATGTTCTGGCTCCCAATGGCATATGATAAAGATTAGTTGTGGAATGACGCTTCTGATTATTTTTGCTTGCCTGTAGAGGTATTCAGAGATAAATTTGAAAGAGATATTCAATAACCATTAAATAAACACACACACACCCCCTTAGCTGTGAAAAAGAGGAGGAAGTATGAAGAAACTCAAGATTGTGATACCTTGATCCTCTTGATATAAGCCAAGGGAGGGAGAGAATCTTCGTTAGGCTTTCAAGATTCTGTTATTATACTTTGTAACAATAAAATTACAACAGTCCTTTTGGAGTCTTATTTCCTGACCTGGCCTACATAGAAGGACTTACATCAGTCTTGAAAGCCTCATTGCTTTCTAATTATGAAGTCATTAATCTTTCTTTTGATTATGGAAATTGCATCAAATCTTCAGGCACCCTATTGTTCATAGACAAGCTTGCTCAAGCATGATAGAACAATAACAGCAAGTGGAAATACAAATAATAAACTGCACATTATCATAGTACAGTTAATGCAGCAGTTCATACAAGATTTGTCTCATGGGGTAGTTTCAACAATCTGCATCCCAGCCAGTATTTCTTTGCTCCTAAAGGAATTTCTGGAGAGGTTTGGAAGAGACCAAGATCAGTTTTTTACTTTTATGACTCAGTTTGAGTTGTTTATGAAATGTCAACCAACAGCATTTCTTACAAATTGTTCCAATGTTTGTTCTGAATCTTTTGAAAGATGGAACAGCCAATTGCCTCCCTCATCGAAGGCAATGTTCATATTGCTGCATAGTTACCAGAACATCGTAAAAAGTTAAAGTTGGCATTTGATTATTCAAGTAAGGTAGCACTAACAAATTGAGAGCTCTGCAATCTAAAATAAAATAATGAGAAAGTTCATAAATACATATAGATTTTCAGTTATTTGCCAGAGATGTGGGTAAAATAATCTTTCTTTGATGGACTAATTTTCGGCTTCCTACTAATGAACTGAGAAAGAATTTTAGTGCTACATGGCATACCAGAGAATTTGAAAGAACAGTTCCAATACTGAATATTAATAGAAGGTAATTGGAAGACTTGAGGCATGGAGGAAATAGCAAGATTTTTCACCTCTGCCTACCCCGATGACTTTCTCAGATACTGGTGTTACAGAATCCAAATAGAAGTAATAAAGAGATGCATGTCCTCAATAGAGAAGGAGAGATTGAAGTTTATGCTTCTACTGTGTAGCGCTAGAATACAAAGCCTAGACTTGCATCACAAAAATAGGTACTTCTGCCAATTTCTCGCCTATGGAATTGCAGCCCACATTATAAACAAGTGCCCCACCTGTTCAAAAGGCTTATCTTTGGGGAAAGATAGACTCCCCTCTCAGAAATCCACCAGGAGAGCCTTTTAGCTATTAAGAAGAGCCCAGGCAGCCGACAGAAAGACTTACCATTTTATGTCAGAGAAGAAAAAATTATTGAGGGATATTCATTGCTATAGATTCCAGCTCCTGGGTGTGACCGTTAGTGGTCCCTACCCACTACCTCTTATTTCAGATTTACTGGATAGCCTTCAAAAGACACATTTTCACAAAATTGGATTTGATAGATGAATATAATTTAATCAGAATAAAAGATGGACATGAAAATTTGCTGAGATACCAAGTACGGCAATCTGAATACATAGGAATGTTGTTAGATTAGTTAATTGCAGTGTGACCATCTCCACATTCATGAGTGAAATATTGTCTAATGTCTATTGTCTAATGTCTTGGATATGGGACATGGGAAGTCGGATGTCAAACTCACATCACAGTGGTGTTACATGACATATTGTGCCTTTCCCCACTTTTCTAAAACAGGTGGGCATGGCCAGTGCATGACGTATCTGGGCCACGGGTCGTGAATTTGACATCCCTGGTGTAGAGGAATGTAAAGATGGCCTTAATACTCAGCAGCTGTAAGCTTAGCCTCAAAATCGAAGTGGCAGTGAGCAAGAAACTCAGGATTGTCCTACCTGGATTGTCTTGGGGTAAAAGAGAGAAACACTATTTTTCAAGGTCCTTTTATTAGATAGTAAAATAGAGCTAAAATGCCCTTCTAGAGTCTGTTTCTTGAGGTGGTCTATCTTCAGATAGTCAGAACCAGTCGGGTTCTGACTTTTTATTAGGAAATATTATCTTCTCTTTTGCCACACTTTGCCCATGGAGTACGTTTCCCCACTAGATCCAGAAAGCTTCAATTCAATTGGCCTTTAATAAGGCATTAAAGATCTGGATGTTTCCTCTGGCATTTGGGGCAGGAAGTTAAATCAGTTCTGTTGATGAATTTGTCTGGTTTGATTTATGCTGATTGAAAATAGTATCGTGTAGACCCCAGGTATAAGTATATTATTTTTGATTAGTACTTGGAAAGTTTATTTTGTATATTACATTACTAGTTTGTGTTTAATCTTCTATATGCTTCTTAGAATCATTGCTGTATGATGAGCAGTTTTATGAATTGTTTAAATAAATGAGACATTATTGTTGATTGATTATAGTCATTGCTGTTATATTGTGAATCCATGAGAAGCTGTTGTACAATAAATTTTAACTATCAATATTACGCAGGGAGCCTTTAGACAGGCTGAATATACAGTTTCAGATATAAAGGCGTAAGAATAGATTTAGAGAATGGAATAGTCAATACTGGTATGCATATATTTTTTTTAAACCGTTTCAAGAATAGAATAGTTCAATTCAAAATGTATCCTTGGAACATTCTACGTGTTTTCTGTTTCAATATAAAAATTATAATATTTTGACTATACAACATAAAGAAACAATGGGAACTCTTAAATTTAATTATATATTATCCCTGTACCGTAAAATTGATAGGGAGAAAGTCAGTGCTATTTCCCTTCCAACTTTCAGGAGATTTGTCCAATGGGATGATAATAAGTAATGATAAATACATTTTTGAAAAGTTATAGAAACAATATAAAATACAGTACATATTCAGAGTATGTGGCTATGACTACCAGTCTGAAGGGGGGAGGGGAAATAGCCCAAAACAAAGGAAAAAGAATGATGAATTACTGTATAACTATTGACCTTCTTGAGGCGCAACACCTGGTCCCATAGGGCAGAAAGCTCTCCTTTTCCAGACATGCTTTGTATCTTTGCATCTTCTACATCTCTTATTGTATGATTGCAGTTTAGCAGGTTCTGCTGCTAAGAGCAAGTTTAGTATTGTGGTTAAAATAATAGGGTAAAAATCAGGAGACTGAGTTCAAACCCCAGCTTAGTCACAAAGTTAGCTGGATGAGAAAGCCAGACACTCTATTTAAACTCTAGAAAGGAGGAAATGGCAAATACTTCCAGAATCTTGCAAAGAACCCTACAGGGTCTATTAAAAAAAAAAATCTGCTGCTACAAATTGTCTTCCAATTCACAACTTTTCCTTAATAACTGTAAATTCTCACAACTTTCCTTTCCTTTTTTAACAATGAAAAGAAGCGATGAATGGGAACTGACATAGAATAATATACATACTACTTGCCCATGTCCTTCAAAGGCGTGTGGCCTTTCCTTCTCATTCTTGAGAAAAGCCAACATCACTAGGGATGAAAAGAAACAAACTTCATCAGACAGGAAGAAATTATAGAAGTCCTAAAAAATATAAAAAAATATGCAGTATATCAGGCAAACTGTGAGATTGCAATGAACTGCCTCAATTAATGCATTCTTGCTCTGACCTAGAGATGTTGTGATTTATGTTTATAATTTACTTCAGAATTAAAATTATTTCTAACAGCTTAAATCTTGGTTATCCAGTCAGTCAAAGAAGTGGGACAAAATACTCTCTATTCAAGCCAGTTTACGTTTTGTCTTTTATCTTTTCCTTCCATACAGACATATTCATTTGCTTCTAACATAGTAATGCAATAAAATACTGCTAAAGCTTTTGTGTCTGTAACCTTTAATTTGGCAAAACAGTGCATCATAGTGTAAACTCTTTTAGACCAGACATCTCAAATGGATTATCTTATAAAATCTGTCCAAAATCCAGAAGCCATGTTTCCCTGATTCCCATAGAATAGAATTTTGGCAAATTTTATAAAATATTCTGACATTAAAATTACCTAGTCAGCTCCTGATGTTTGGCAGTCTCTACAGTTCATCATGGACTATTTTTAAGGCACATGCATCTCCGAATATCTCCCTAAATGTTCAAGAACTTTTCAAGTCTGCCACTGTTGAAGGCATTGAGGAAACTGTAAAAAGGTATCTCTGAAACAATGATCCAACAAGTCATAATTGTCTAGTATTTACCTAAAATAATTGTTTCACTTTGAAACTATTCTCTTATCAGAACCAACTCATCCTGAATAGGATTCCATTGCATTTTTTAAATTCTAATTGTTAGATGTATTGATATGATGTAATTTTAGTGTTGAAATTTTTGATGGTAAAATAAAATGTCAAATACATTCATATAAACTTAGCTCTGTTCTGTTTGATATACTGCTATTGTATCATAACTTTCTTGCCTGAAGTAGGAGACTGATTACCCATTATGTGTTGCAGAATTGTGATGAAAGGTTCCAGTACAAGTATCAACTTCGTTCCCACATGAGCATCCATATTGGACACAAACAGTTTATGTGCCAGTGGTGTGGTAAAGATTTCAATATGAAACAGTACTTTGATGAGCACATGAAAACCCACACTGGTAAGGATACATTTTTATTCTTTTTGAATACTAAACTTAACTGATATGATATGTAGCTCATAGGAGAGTTAACAGGTTTAATTTATCAGCACATAACCTTTTTCTTTCCTTTAAAATCTAAACATAATACTGTTTTGAGTGTAATTAAAATAAACAAAGGTTCTTGTGTCATCTGAATTTCAACACTGGAAAGCAAAAGAAGGATAATTAATTTGAGGATTGCACAGTGTTTTCTGAAGAAGAAAGCTTTTGACATAATGCATGAGAGAGACTCCAGTATGAAGGGCAATATTAAGACAGAAAAAAATACAAAAGGGGTTGTACTACATGCAGAAAGTAGTGGAAAAGCACTGAAGGGGTTTAGGAAGAGGTGTTGCTAGAGATGTGTGAGTATGATGTAGAGCAGTGGAGGGCAAATTAAGTAAAAAAGGAATGGGAGGTTAAGAAAATGGACCATTGGAGCTAGAAATGACCAGGGCATAAGGGCATGCACTGTATCAACTTCCAGCAGGTCTGGGGAAGTCTATGAGGAAACCTTGATAAACTACTATCAGGCAAGATGTGTAATAAATTATGAAGCAGATTATAATAAGTATAGAGAACAAAAATCTGTTTGCTGGAGGTTGAGACAGGAAGAGTAGTTGGGACAAAAAGGCTATATTCTAGAATTTAAAGGCAAAATGTAAAAAGATAATGTGGTTGAAGAGTTGGATATACAGTGGACTAAAGCTTGTTGGGGAAGCAGAGTTCAGAATACAGTTAAACACTTAAATACAGTAGAGAATGTACTTGATGCATAAAAGGACTTTATGCCAAAGAGAAAGGAAAATGTGAGAGAATTAATAAAAATAATGGGAGGGTTATTGGTGTTGTAATATCAAGTGAGATTGGAAATGGGAAAATAATGTAAAAGTATATAGCAAAGGAGGGATAGGAATAAATTGTATGGATATCTCCAGTTTCATATTAAAGGGTGAGAAAGATGAAGGGTATAACATGTAGGACCAGAAGTTGAGAATTACTAAGGATTATTGGGTATAAACCAAGATAATGTGTTGGAGTGCTAACTTGAGATTGAGCTGAAGTAGTCAGAATGACCAACTATGGACAATTCTGGATATTGTAGATCAGCAACATAGATGAGTCTCTGACAACTTCTTGAATGTAGGATTTGCATTCAAAATTATATTAATGAATTTGATTAAAGGTGCCATTTTGTAATTTTTAACAGGAGAGAAGCCTTTTATTTGTGAAATCTGTGGCAAAAGTTTCACCAGTCGCCCAAACATGAAGAGACACCGCAGAACTCACACAGGGGAGAAGCCATATCCATGTGATGTGTGTGGCCAGCGATTCCGTTTCTCCAATATGCTTAAGGCACACAAGGAGAAGTGCTTCCGTGTTACTAGTCCTGTTAACGTTCCACCTTCTGCCCAGATCTCACTTGCCACAACATCATCTGCCACCACTGTACCTTCTGCT